TATATCCACCGGTACCAAAACACTCCCCTCCGGCGGTTTGACGCTCCGGGGGTTATTATTGGGGTCGAAACGTGTTTTTTAACTAGGAAAACCGCAACTCCGCATTTGGTCGCATATTGATCGCACCGTACCTCGTAGGTGCGAACCGGAGTTGATAGTGGTGTTGCCATTAGTATTAAAGGGTATAGGGGTATCTACTAGCCTTTCTCTCACTCCGTAAATGCTTGGCATGCCCGTAACAGCTTACCCCCCTTCCAGGGTGTCACGTCTCGGGACATCTTCTGACAGACTATGGTTCCAGTAAACCTGCTCCACATATCACCCGTGGTGTCTGTGGAGGGGAAGGACTTAGCCCCGTGGGGTACCTCTATAGTCTCAGGCGTTGGTCCTTCACAGCCTTGGGGTTCCTTCGATGAAAGTCGCGGACTAGATCAAGTACGTCTTCGTTCATAACGTCCATGACTTGGTAAGTACAGTCGCTCATCGAATAACCCCGCCATTTCACCAGATATTCTACTAATCCTTTTCTGCTCTTCCGGCTTCCCACAATACTTTCCACTTCGTATAAAACCTCTCCTTCCTTATCGACCTCTTCGGGAGTTGGGGGACGTTGTTCGCGGCCTGGTATACCGCTCTGTCGGTAACGTTCCAAGAGTTCAATATGGAACATGTCATGGATTTTGACTTGCGGTGGCAGTTCCAGTTCGCAGGCTCGTTTGCCGGCTAGTCGGACAATTTTGAACGGGCCGAGTTTCTTATGGTCGAGTTTCTTGGTAGAGCGACGAGTCTTGATGTTGGTCGCATTGAGCATAACCATGTCTCCTACCTTGAAGTTAGGCGGTTCGTCCCTTTTCCGATCGTAGTATTTCCCCATCTTCTCCCTGGTATCTGTTAAGCGAGCCAGAGTGGAATCATGAACTCCTCGTATGAAGTGAACGTACAGGTCACTGGTTGAGTTGACCAATTCGGCTTCCGTCGGCCAGTTGGTTCTTGGGTTGTAACCGTAAGTGGTGTAGAACGGAGATTGGCCCGTGGCGGTGGTAACCGAGTTGTTGTAAGCATACTCTGCCAACGGGAGTAGCTCTGCCCAATCATCTTGCTCGTAGTTACAAAACGCTCGTAAGTAGTGCTCGAGGGTTTGGTTGACTCGCTCTGTTTGCCCATCGGTCTGAGGGTGGAAAGCCGTACTCATTCTTATCCTCACATCCAACAATTCCATAAGGGATGCCCAAAAACTTGAAGTAAACTTGGCGTCCCTGTCGGAAACTATGTCGAGAGGCAGCCCATGGAGTCGCCAGATTTGACCGAGGAATATCTTTGCTAAATCCTGCGCGGTCGTTTCTGCTACTAAGGGAATGAAGTGCGACATCTTTGAGAACCTATCGACTACTACCCAGATTTGATTGTATCCCTTTGATTCCGGTAACTGTACGACGAAGTCCATTGATATCGATTGCCAGACAGAATGTGGCGTGGACAGTGGTAGAAGCGCACCGTATTTTTTATGGCGGCTGGGTTTGTTGCGCTGGCACTCGTCACATGACCGAACGTAATCATCAATCCACTCGTTCATTTTTGGCCAATAGAAGTTGCGCGTGATGAGTTCCAAAGTTTTATCTTGTCCAAAATGTCCTGCCACCTTCGAATCGTGTTCTGCCTGTGCGATTCGGATCTTAATACGGTCGTCTGCCGGAATATAGAGTCGGTTCTTATAGAAGAGTAGCCCGTCTTTCTCAGCAATATCCTTCAGTTCCCCCAGCTTCTCCCCTTGCTCAACTCTCTCTTTCATTCCTACCCATATCGGGTCTCCCGATGCCGCCTGCCTGACATGATCAAGAAAATTCTTAGACCAGTCAATCACCCCCTTGGAGGCAAGCGACACCGCTGATACCACAAACTCTTCCTCGGCCAACTGCCCGGGCTTAAAGAACCTGTCTATCGGCTGTTTCCCAAGCGTGCCTCCCCCTTCAGGACGGTACTCCGGCCGTCGCGATAGTGCATCTGCCTTCCCATTTTTGGTTCCCGGGCGGTAAATAATCTTGAAGTCAAATTCCGCCAAAGATTCAGCCCACCTTGCCTGTCGTCGGTTAAGAACCTTGGTTGTTGAAAAATATTCCAAGTTCTTGTGATCCGTATATACGAGAACCGTTCGGCTAGGTCCTTCGAGGTAGTGACGCCATTGCTTGAAGGCTGACACAATTCCCAACATCTCCTTATCCCAGACGTCGTAGTTGAGTTCCGCTGGGTTAAGTTTTCGAGAATAGAAGGCAACAGGGTGAGTCTTTCCGTCAATAACCTGGGATAGAATTGCGGCAATAGCAAAATCACTTGCGTCCGTTTCCACGATAGTCTCGCGATCTGGAGAGAAGTGTACCAAGATCGGCGCAGACGTAAATAGGGTTTTGAGTTTTTCGAAGGCCCGGAGAAATTGTGGATTAACCTTCTGTAGAAGTTGGCAAAGCCCATGAAGATCTGTACTTCCTTAACGCTACGCGGGGCTTGCCAATTCGTAACAGACATAACCTTATCCAGTGCCATGGTGACGCCTGCTGGGGCAAGGATGTATCCGAGGAATTCGATTTCGGTGAGCTCGAAGAACGATTTCTTCGGGTTGGCGACCAGGTTGTATTCTTGTAGCCTACTAAGTACTTTGCCGACCAGCTCCCTGTGTTCCTCTCGGGACTTGCTATATATTAGGATATCATCAAGGTATACTACTACCCCTTGATCCAGGAATTCCCTCAGCGCATCATTCATCATATTCTGGAAGGTCGCCGGCGCATTTGCCAGCCCAAAAGGCATGACGAGGTACTCAAAATGCCCGTACCGTGTACGAAAGGCTGTCTTCCACTCGTCGCCCTCTTTGATCCTGATGAGGTTATAACCTTCCTTCAGGTCAATCTTCGAGAAGATAACCGCGCCTGCCACTCGATCTCGCAGCTCGTCCATAAGCGGTAACGGATACCTGTTCTTGATGGACACACGGTTAAGTCCACGGTAGTCAACGCAAAGTCGCAGACTACCGTCCTTCTTTTTCACAAATAGGATTGGAGCTCCTGCTGGGGATTTGCTCGGCCTAATCTTTCCCAATCGCAACATTTTGTCTAGGTACTCCCGAAGCACCTTCAGCTCGACTTCGGATAAAGAGTAAACGGGTCCCCATGGTGGCTGTTTCCCTGGTTCGAGATCTATCGCATGGTCGTAAGATCGATGTGGTGGTAATTTGTCTGCTTCCGATGGTAGGAAGACTTTAAGGAACCCATGAAGCCAAGAGGGAAGAGTTTCGCGGAGGTTGACCGATTCATCTTCCAAGAGACAGATGCTACCGATGACTTGGGCCTCCGGATCGTCCAGTACACCCTCGTCCATTTCTATTTGAGGTTCCTTGTCAGTGAAGCATCGACCCTTGCAGTTCTCACCATCGTAGGTAACTTCCCCATTTGCCCCTATAACTGGCTTGTGTTCATTCAACCACCAGTTCGGTAATATTGCATCGATGCCAAGTGGGAGAGGGGCGATCTCGAATGACAACTGTGTTTGATGCCCCCTTGACATTATAATTAATGGTTGTGTAAAGGCGTGTCCCGTGCCCTTCATAACTTCTCCCGTAAATCCAAATACCCGGGCCGGGACGTCTCGTTTCACCTTCGGGACCTCAAAACTATCAACAAAAACAGCAGACAAAACAGGACCAGTTGCACCAGTATCCAACAACACCTTACAAGGTAAACATTTTTTTGCAAAACAAAGGAACTGATTAACGATAGGTCGAGGACCGTGAATGGGTTCCTCCAAAAATTTCTGTTTTTTCTCCGGTTGGGACGCTCTCCCTTCCTGCCTTTTTCTTTTCATATTTTTTTTATTGTTTTCCGTCAGTGATAACATAGCAATCTGGGGATACTCCTGACCTGACTCATCAGAGTCCCCTTTTAAAAATCCTCGTCGAAATCCATCTCAGATTCCGATCCGCGTTCTCGCACAAACGCTTGCCCACTGGTGTACTCTGCCGCAGCTGTAGCAGCCGGCTTCCTAGCACGGTGCCTCATACGCTTCCTCTGAGGTTGGGGTTCCGGTGGTTCCATATCGTGGTCGCCATCGTCATCGCGGGTACGCTTTCGGGAGAAAGAGGAGATAGATGCACTGCTGTTAGCATCTGAACGACACCATTTCCAAAGATGACCCTTTCGGCCACATCGCACACAGGCTCCATCGGTCTTTCGCTGTTCTCGGACCGGCTGTGCAACTCCTTTGGTGGCTTCATCGTAGTCGTGGTATATTGGCTTGTTCCCCGACTTATTCTTGCTGGTGCTCTTCTTATCTTGCCCTTTTTCCTTCTCCTCAGTCTGAGCCCTCCCCTTGATCTTAAACCCCTTCTCCTTCTGCCGCGAGTTCCCACCGTTATTCGACTCCCTTCCCCTCGACTCCGCTTTCCCCAACATCTTCATCTGCTCTTGATAAGCCTCGTGAGCCTTGCCGGCTCGTTCCAACTGTTGGATGTACTCGGAGTCGTCATCGGTTGGATCGAAACGTGAGTGGCGCTCCCGGATTTCATTTGGTAGCCCTTGGAGCAGGGCGGCGCGATAGGATGCTCCTTTCATCTGAGCGTGCTGGTTCATGATCTCCATTCTCGTCAGGTAGTCTCCGATGTTAGCAGAGTACTTAAACTGCTGCATCTTCATCGCGTTCTCCATAGCCTCTTGAGTGCTTAAGAAACGTTTCCTAATTTCTTGACGGAACCGAGTCCAAGTAGCGTAGTCCGCGGCTGCCGGTCCTAGCATCTTGGTCTCGATGTATTCCATGAACCATTCCTTTGCCAACCCACACGTATACGTTCCAGCGAACAGTACCTTGTTCCTGTCCGTTCGGAACTTCTTGAGCTTTTGCTCGAAGTAGATTTCGCACTCCATGAGCCAATGCCGCAGGTTATGCTTCCTGGCATTATCGAACTCAAAGGGTATTTTGGCGAGCGAATCTACCATATCGTCGTCTTCAGGCGGCGCCTAATTCCGGTTCCCGCCTCGGTTCCTTCTCCAATTCTTCCGACCGTGCGACCATTCACTGTTATCGTCGTCATCGTCGTCGGAAGGTTCTGGATCTCCCCCAACGTTTCCTCTTGGTGGGTTTTGTGGAGGTTGATTCCCACCATTCCCACCAACTGGAGCAGCTTCCACCGGTCCTCTGCCACTATTGCCATGTACGGGGCCGGCATCCTCCGGTCGCCTGCCTCCATTTCCTCCTACGGGACCAGCATTTCCTCCTACTGGGCCAGGATTTTCGGGTTTCTTGCCATTGTCAACAGGAACCGTTCGGGGCGCGTTAGGGTCTAAGGGAGCACTAGCCACGGAAGGTGCTACTGACAGGTGTTGTCGCAGTAGTTCCTCCATCTCGGCTATTCGTTGGTTTCTTATCTCATCGGACTGCTTGAATTGCGCAAACATAGCCCGTTGTTCCCCTTTCTCCTGCTCCCGCTCTTCTCGTACCATTCTCAGCTGTCGCTCCGCTTCCAACAGTTGGTTCTGGGTAATCCGATGGTTACGGTCCAGAACCTCATGGTCGGCGGCTCGTGCGGTTTCTTGCATTTGTTGGACATGGGTGACGAGCTCAAAGAGCGACTCGAGATGTTGTTTTTGGGCAATGGCTTCTTGCCGTACTTTCTTATCCAGGATTTGTCCACTCCCTTGGACTTGCTCCTGGAGATTTTGTAGCTGCTGCCAAACGGCCTGTCCAGCTGAACCAAGATACCTCATTTGTGCCTCATGGGTATCCAAAAACTCCTGCATATTCCTCACGAACTGGGCTTGAGCAGAGCGTTTACTCGATTGCCTAGTTGTTGTAGAGGGTCCTCCCGTAATTAGGGGGTCTGGGCTAGCAGCCCTTGATATCACCATAGAATCTTCTCCTCCGGCCTCCTCAGTTACGGCCGAGGTATCTATGAAGTAATTATCCCTTCGGGTAGTCATTGTGATATGGGATAATGATGATAGTTCTTCTTTTTGAGGTAACTTCGTTACTCCAAGTGAACTTGTGAGTAACAATATACTGTGAGGGATGCGTACCAGACCACAAGAGTACACTACGCAGAGCTCAGAGTTCGGCTAACAGCTACAAAGGTAGAAGTCTCCAAGGTCTCTTCAGTCAACGTCGAGTATGATTCTCCTTGATCCGATACGGGCCCCGCGAGCTACGTTAGCAACAAAGATTCACTAGAGTTAGCGTTTGATGTTCGGCCGTCTTCGACGTAATAGTTCAGGTAGAGTTCGAAGTCACGATAGAGTAAAGTAATTCCAAAGTATAGTCAAATAAAGTTGTAACTCGCGTATCAACGATTTATATTGTTAAGACTCTGATTTCGCCGATGATAGTTTGGCTAGTCAGTGAATGACACGGTATTTATATCCCTCGCTTATGTCTCGAGGACCCAGTCTACTAATAATACAGAATACACTCGGGGCATGCCCGAGACCCTGAAAACAACCAAGAACATTTAACTCCTAAGTCCGTAACCCCAAACTCCTAAAGCCGCTGAACCCCTCAACCTATTTATCCACTCTAATGCACGTTTCCCTGTCGATGTTTCTTCTCCATCGGCCATCTGGTGGATAATCGTCAGCGTCGGCTATTCGGAGGTCTCGGACGGCAAGGCTACCTACTCAGGCCTCTTCCCACATCGCTTTCCCACATAGCAGAGTCCTCTCATGCCCACAGGTACCGCCGATAGGTACTCGGTCGGCTGGCAGCTTGCCCCGATTCGCTCCGAGCGGTCCGATCTTCGATCCGATTAATTCCAGCTGTCCCTCATATATCCACCGGTACCAAAACACTCCCCTCCGGCGGTTTGACGCTCCGGGGGTTATTATTGGGGTCGAAAACGTGTTTTTTATGACTCTGGGTTTTTGGTCGTAATTTGGTCGCACCACACTCCGCGAGTGTGGTCAAGAGTTGATATTAGCGTACAGAGGGTATTGGGGTATCTACTAGCCTTTCTCTCACTCCCGTAAATACTTGGCATGCCCGTAACAGGATCACTGCCTCACCTTCCATCAAGTTGCCTGCATATCGGATCTTGACCTCTTCAGAGGTAAAGGACAGGCTCTCAATGGAGAACACATTCTCACATTGCCAGATGAAGGTTTCCACTTGCTCCGCCTTGCCCTGAAACTTAGAGGGTGGTGGTGCCTTTGGTTCTCGAGCTCTGGTGGAGGTAGAGGGATGGGAGGTGGCCGGAGGTTGATAATGCTGGGACATCATTGCCAACAGATTCTTCTGTTGCTTCTCCAACTTCTTCTTAAGGTATCGCCGCCAGCCTTTTCTGTCACCACCTTCTGGTTCCGAGTCTGAGCTGTCAGAACTGTCTGAATCTCCTGGAGTGGGAGCGCGGGCTGCTGGAGGTGGAGGGTTCTGATTTCCACCACTTCCTCCCTGCGCCTGAGCTGGAGGGGGAGCGGCGGTCGCAGCAGGAGGGGCCACAGGTGCTACCGGCGCTGGATTGCTAGCCAGTGGTGAGGTTGCTGCTGGTTGAGCAGCCCCAGACATGGTGAACCTTCCTGGGTTCCTGGCTAGTGGACTGGGAGGTCCTCGGCCTGCACCTGAGAAGAATTCTCCTTCATAGTCAAAGGATCGGTCAGTCCCTCCAAGGAGTGGGTGTACTCCACCGAAGCGGCTAGGTGGTAAGGGTGAAGCCCCCACCGCTGGCTGCACAATAGGGATAACTCTCCGAGTGGATCTGACCGGAAATGCTGCAAAGGGGCTGGCCTTCCGCTGCATTGTCCTGGTAGCTGCTCTGGAAGAGGACCTGGAGACTGGATTTGGTGCCGGAGTTGCTGGTCTAGCCACCACCAGTCTTCCTTCATCCAGGGCTCTCTGTATTTCGGCAACAAAGTCTGGTGGAGTAGCTGGGTTTGTCCACTCAATCTCCATGGCATCGGTATTCAGTTCATCTTTCTCCACATACTTCCGGAGTTCTTCCTGAACAGAGTTGACCTCCATCCTCATGTACTCAAGATCTTCTGCCATCAGAGCATTCTGTGCTGCCTGGCGCTCTTGTACAAGGAGTAGGGCCTGACTGCCCCGGGTCAACTGATTCTGCAGGCTGTGCTGGAGGTAGGTCTGGAGCTCTGTGAAGAACTGTTGGACGGAAATCTCGTCGGTATCCTGCCAGGCAGGCTCACAGCCGGGAATGTAGGTCTGTAGAGCGGTCCGGGGTTTCTTAACAAGCTGTGTCTGCCCGGTGGCATCAAGCTGGAGGGGCACCGGCTGCCATTCAATCTGAAGGGGTGCATCTGGAGCCGGGAGGGCGGACATTTTTGTATAGAGGAAGAATAATCTGAAGGTGACTTGAGCCTTAAAGATTATCTGTAACGGGGGTCCTTTCTAAGAGGAATAGAATAAGATAGAATAGAGACGGCCGTGCAAGATAGACAATCAGGTTGCAGATTATTCAAAGATACTATCGCTAGAACTCAATAATCTTTAAGGGCTCTGCTACCGATAAGAACTTGGTTTTTCTTTCTGATGAAGACTCGAGAGAACAGGACTGAAGGGCGAGAATGAACCTGAGTACTTATACTCCGAAGGCCTCTATTCTCTGCTCCTAACTCCTTACTAAGTTCCGGTGGGCCTTTCCTTAGTACTGGAAAACAATACCACCGCTACCCCGCTTTTCCCTAAGCGTCAGCAGGTGTTTCCGATACCCAAGGCAACCACCCTTAGTCAAAGCCTTTATAACACCTGCAGCCTTGGTTGCCACACAACCGAGGACCTGCATGAATGAGCTACCGCTCAGGTGTAAGCTTAATCATTGCTGTAGAGCTTTTCGCTTATTGTAGACTTCCCTAGCATAGTCCCTGCCCTTCGGCGGACTTACAATGCTCAGAGGATATAGTGGATCACCGGGCAATCAGAGCTTCACTCTGGCCGGTCTTCTAGACACTGGCGAGGCATAGACTCGTCAGTCATTGCTCCCATGAATAGATCCCCTTCCTAGCGCCCGGAATGTAGTTACTCTAACAGCTGGTAGCTAACCACACTGCCGGTACTTGCATATCACCGTGCAACTGGCTTCTAACAATAACTCTCAGCATGTAACCGGGCCCTGTGTGTACTCATACACCAGAGAGTTGAAATGGCTCCGTTACAGGTGGGTCTTGTGCGGGTGGGGCGTTTTCCTTTCCTTTGTTAAGGAATCGGCGTTTGACTCTTTCGGGGCATGCTGGGTCGGAGGCCTTATGGATTCCTTTGCAGTTCAGACATCTGATTGGGGTGTGGGTGCATCTATATCCTCCCTGGCATTGATTGCATGGGTGGAAACTGGTGAGATGATCTCCGGCACAATGACCGCATCTCCCGTTGTTTTTGCATTTCTCCTGGCGGTGACCGTAATCAAGGCACTTCGCGCATTGGGTGTCTGGGAAGGTTGGGAGGAAGGCCTCGATGTGGCAGCTTCTGTTAAAGAGGGATAGGAACTTAACTCCTAGTGTTTCCATTGTAACTTGTCCTGGGAGCGCGATGACCATTGATGAGTGGGTTTTCTCCATTCGAGTCTCTGCTCTGGAGATCCAGCGGGGAACCTGGGCAAGTTGGAAGTTCTCTCCATAGTTGCTTCTAATTTCGGATGCTACCAGTTGTCCTGTCTCGACGCCTTCTCCGACCGTTGTGGGGATTCCGTGAATAAGGAACTTTGACCATTTGGAGTTTGCCCGGATGGTGGCAACTGGTACTTGTAGGGTGAGGAGAGCCTCCTCAATTTCTTTGGCGTATTCCATTGCCTTTGTTGCTGGGGTGACAAACTTTGTTTCCAGGATAAAGTTATCCTTGGGTGTTCTCCTTGCTGAAATGAAGTGGCAGGATTCGTCCTGAATTCTTGCATTGACTAGGGTCCTGATCTCGGAGGGATTGACGTCGGATGGAGCAGTGGTTTCAACAATGATTTCTCTGTTGATTTTGGTATATTCTGGCTTGAAGAGGGGGTCCGCTTTTGGCTTTGCGGACTTCTTTCTTCTCTCGATGACCTGGAAGTTTCCTTGGGCAGGACCGGGTGCCGAGGCAACGGCGGCCCAGGTGCCTGCCTTCCATCCACGGGGTGGGGCTTGTTGGGGGGGTGCGGGTGGGGGGGCCTGAGGGGCTGCCTAAGGCGCTGCTTGGGGAATTATTTGAGGGACCGCTGGAGGGGGCATTCTCTGTCCCTGCGGTTGTTGTTTTCGCTGTTGTTGCTGTTGTTGCTGTTGTTGGTTTTGTTGTGGTTGTTGCGGTTGTTGCGGTTGTGGTTGTTTGTTGAGGAGAAGATGGATCGCCGAGTGCATACTGGTGATCATAGTTGTCTGCGCCTCGATTTGGTGCCTCAGTGTATCCACTGTTCTCCGGAGTGTGGTCGTTTGCTCTTCGAGGATTTCAATCCTGTCGGTGGGTGGGCAGATTCGGCTGGTGGCATGTCTAATGGCCCAGGTAATATAGTTCAGGTCCGTCTGGGTGTGAGTATCCTGGGGGACAATGCTCGGGTAGAGGTAGTCGACTCTCGGTTGGTATGGGTCGTTGTAGTCGGATTCTGTTGCAAAGGTCGAGGAGAATTCCTGTTCCTGAGCTCCGGATGGGGTTGGGCCGGGAACCTGAGTGTTCCTGACCTGCGAGGGGGCTGTCCCTTGCTGTGAAGACTGGGTAAAAAAGGACTGGAGCGAAGCTTGCTGGGACATAATTGAGTGTCCAGTTCTTCTGGCGGCGTAGAGTGAAGTTTCGGATAGGTTTCTTTTCCTTCCCTTCGGGAGGTCAAGGCTGGAGAATTCTTCGCTAAAAGCCAGTTTTCGTAGGTTTCTTTCGCTTGGAACAACAAAACGCGACCGTACGATCGGGGACGAAGTGGCTCAACCTGGTATGATATACCAGGGTAAACCGAGGGGAATAAAAATAAAGTGTTTTTGAAGCGAGGTTTGTTATCAGGGAGTTCTTTGCGAGCCTTAGCGAGCAAGTAGAATACAGAAGAAGAAGAAGAAGAAACTTATATTGCTTTGAAGTACAAGACTTATCGCACGCCGACCCAACCGCCTAAACACAAATCAAACCGAACAAAAGAAAGAAAGAAAAGAAAACAACAAACATAAACGCAAACGAACAATAACAAGAACAAAACAAGCACAAGCGAGCACGAACAATAACAAGGAAATTCCAGAACAATACTCGACCAGAAAACCCAACGACAAGGAGAAATAACATATCTCAGCGGACTCGAGCGCTGGACCCATCAAAAACAGAACATAAAAACAAATTTAAAGAGTAAAAGGAAACTGCCCTTCCTAATCCCGTCCCTAATCATTTCCTTCCATCCCCTCTTCCAGGTCCGCCTCCGGCTCCGCCGACTCGTACCATTTCGAGAGTTGAGATTGTTTTGCAAATTGTAGGATGAGGTCCGTTCTCAGGTTTGTAAACATCCAGTTTTCCCAGGTCATCGCTCCGGGGATCTTCTCTATCAGAGGGGTGCGGATTCGAGCCCACGCTGGGCATTCCATGAGTATGTGTTTCGCTGAGTTTTCCATGCCACACTGGCATGGTTCAGGGTCTGTATATACTGCGTGTTTGTCGATTCGGGTGGTTTGGCACCGGATTCGAAATACTTTTTTTGCTTCCGTAAGGGTGAGTTTCGCTATCTTGGGAGGGGGGCGGAATTCCCCCCGGTGGTGGTAGTTCGGTATTGATTGTGTGTTCCATTCTTCCAACAGGTGGTCGCGTAGTAGTTTATTTTGGTTCCACTTATCTCTCGCATTTCCGGGGGTCTGGTATGGGAGTAGTAGGGAAGCGATTCGGTGTAGGCCTGTTCCTTTGATATTTGCTTCTTTGTATGGGAGGAGCTCGATCAGGGATTCATTGTTGGGGTGGGTTGCCTCGGAGCAGAGTATTCTGGTTCCGTACTTTCTTGAGCGATATGTCAGGAGGTGTTCTAAGGGGGGTATGCCTGCTTCTCGGAGGAGTTTAGCTCTTTTGGTCCATCGTGGTAGGCCGGTGATGATCCGGGCCGCTTCATTATATAGTGGTTCGAGGGATCTTATAATGTGGTCTGAACCAGTCCACCAAGCCTCGGATCCGTAGAGTAGGCTTGGGAGGAAGCCTTGTGTTATGATATGATGGATTGTTTTGACCGTTATGCCTGGCAAGCGGGCTGTGTATCGAATCTGGTGGAGGGCTTTAAGGCCTTTTGCGATCGCTGATTCGATGTGGGGCCGGAAGGAGAGGGTCGGATCTATCCAGACTCCTACATATTTCAGTCTTTCCTTGGGGTGTATATTGATATTGTTAACTTTGACCGGAAGTCGTGGTTGTTGTGTGGATGATGTGGTGGGCCGGAAGAAGATCAGGTCGGATTTATCCAGGTCGTATTTAATTTGGAGTGGCTCAGCTTTTATTAGTCTCTCTCTCATTCGTTCCTCCATTCTCTTGATTGTGAAGCCTGGTGTTTTGGATATTTGTACCAGCGCGTCGTCATCGATGTAAGTAGTGTCCATCTCTTTCGGGCTGCTTGTTGGGTCCAGGATTACTCCAGCATAGATCATAAATAGCACCGGGGACATCGGGCTACCTTGCGGCACCCCAGAATCATAGGGCTGTGGCTCTTCTAGCTCATGGTTGAATTGAAACTGTAGTTTTCTGCCGGTATTGAATTCCTTGCACCATTCTGTTAAGTAGGTAGGGAATTTTTGTTGTTGCATGATTTCCGCGAGGAGTAGGTGGTCAACGCAGTTAAATGCTCCTTGGATATCATTGGTTAGGATCGCTGGTCTGTCTCGCCGAGCGACTCCGGTACTGTTTTTCAGTAGTAGGTTTTGTTGTATTGGCGTTAAGGTTCTCAGCAGGGCGTCGATTGCCGAGATGGTTGGTCTTCCTCCGAATTGGTTTGCTGAGAGTGTGCCTGGAATTTCTCCAGCGGTGCAGAGTCTTTGGGCCACTATCTTCTCCAGGATTTTGCTGAAACATTGTAGAAGGGAAATGGGCCGGTAGGCTTTTGCTTCATGATAGTTTGCTTTACCGGGTTTCGGGATCGGGATACACTTAGCTATTTTCCATTCCGCTGGGTGTACGCCGTGCCGGAGCATGGCGGAGAACATGTCTTGGATTAGAGTTGTGTTTGCTTTGACTATTGCTTTAATAAAGGTATAAGGAATGCCATCCGGGCCGGTCGCCGAGTGCGCTGGACAGGAGTCGATTGCTTTATTAAGTTCTTCGGGGGTGACTGTGTCGAAGGTGTTGCTAAGGTCAAAAGAAGGGGGTCTAATGTTTAGGGGGGGGTGGTCGGGGGACGTCCGTTTGGAGGGGAAAAGTTGGGCTCTTAGAGCTTGGCACTTCCCCGCAAATGTTTCTTCACCTTGTATGGTTGGTATGATTGTGTCTCTTCTTCTTCCTACGTTTAGGATTCTCCAGACTTCACTACCTTTCGCCTCGTTCATCGTCTTTTCCCGCTGATCCGCTTTTGCTTTCCGGATCATGACTGTCCATTCTCTGCAAGCCTTCCGGTGTTCCTCCACGTGATTGGGTTTCCTTGTGTTCCTCGCCTTCCTTTCTGCTGCATTTACCTTTGCCTTCATTTGTTTCATTTCATCTGACCACCAGGAGTTGGCTCTTACCCCCTCCTTCGAGAGCGGTGTTACTATGCTGACTGTTGACCTGACCAGTTCTAGAAAGAAATCAACAGTCTGTTCCGTAAGTTCCTTGGTTTCCCATGCCTCTGCAGGGATGGAAATGTTTGACATGTGGTTTTCCAATAGCTTCCAGTCTGTTTGTCGCCACATTCGTCTTGGTACAAAAGGTGGTTTCTCCAAGTGTAAGTGAACGGAGGTTCTCCCATGGTCTGAGCCCGCTCCGTAGGGTTCAGTACTCCATCGTAGGTTGTGGTCAAGTATTGGGCCTTTTACAAATGTAAGGTCGATGGTTGTGGGCCTTTTCCCTCTGTCTCTGGCGAAATGCGTAAAGACGCCTGGTTCTTCAGGAGGGACAGTTTCTGTCGGGTTATCCATCGTTTTAGTCGTGCACCATTGACGCGGTCTGCTCGAATATTGTTTCTGTATTCATGTGAATTTACTCCGTACCACATTTGATGGTGGCAGTTGAAGTCTCCCATTACTAGGCAATTATCAAGGGTTTGGATTGTACTTGCTATTTGAGCGAAGGGGCCACTTCGGCCTGGGGAGTATATGTTTAGGATTTGGGTTTTCTTGTTCTGGATTTCTACCGTAATCGATACTATGAAATTATCGTGTGTGTAGTGGTGTTTTGGTTTAAGGTTGGCATGTTTGCGGACCTATGTTGCGCATTTTGTATTGGTATTGCTGGCTGTAAAAATATAAAAGAGGTTTGATTCTGGTGGGTATCCCTCTGCTGAGGTCCATGGTTCTTGTAATAATAGGAAATAAATACTAGAGTCTGTTTCCGCTTCTTCTACCACCGCCTTGGTAATGAGTTCGCTCCGTGCACAATTGAGTTGCTGTGCGAGCGCGGTGGTTCGAGGCCTAAGCATTATTTGTCATGGGTTGGTCATCTTCGGGAACGGGTGTAGCTCCGACCGGGGCGGTGGCTGGTACTTGAACTATTGGGAGCAGCTCTTGGACGGGTGCGGCCGGTGGGTCTTGAGCGGGTGGGGCATTTTCCTTCCCTTTATTGAGGAATCGGCGTTTGGCTCTCTCGGGGCATGCTGGGTCGGAGGCCTTATGAGCTCCTTTACAGTTCAGGCATCTGATTGGAGTGTGGGTGCATCTATATCCTCCCTGGCATTGATTGCATGGGTGGAAACTGGTAAGATGATCTCCGGCGCAGTGGCCGCATTTCCCATTGTTCTTACATTTCTCTTGGCGGTGGCCGTACTCGAGGCACTTTGCACACTGAGTATCCGGGAAGGTTGGGAGGAAGGCCTCGATATGGCAGCTTCGGTTCAAGAGAGATAGGAATTTAACTCCTAGTGTTTCCATTGTAATTTGTCCTGGGAGCGCGATGACCATTGATGAGTGGGTTTTCTCCATTCGAGTCTCTGCTCTGGAGATCCAGCGGGGAACCTGTGCAAGTTGGAAGTTCTCTCCATAGTTGCTTCTGATTTCTGATGCTACCAATTGTCCCGCCTCGATGCCCTCCCCGACCGTTGTGGGAATTCCATGGAGGAGAAACTTTGACCATTTAGAGTTTGCGCGGATGACAGCGACCGGTACCTGTAGGGTGAGGAGGGCCTCCTCAATTTCTTTGGCATATTCCATTGCCTTTGTTGCAGGGGTGACGAGCTTTGTTTCCAGGATGAAGTTGTCCTTGGGTGTTCTCCTTGCTGAAATGAAATGGCAGGATTCGTCCTGAATCCTTGCATTGACTAGGGTCCTGATCTCAGAGGGGTTGACGTCGGATGGGGCAGTGGTTTCAACAATGATCTCCCTGTTGATTTTGGTGTACTCTGGTTTGAAGAGGGGGTCCGCTTTTGGCTTTGCGGACTTCTTTTTTCTCTCGACAACCTGGAAGTTTCCTTGGGCAGGACCGGGTGCCGAGGCCACGGCGGCCCAGGTGCCTGCCTTCCATCCCCGGGGTGGGGCTTGTTGGGGGGGTGCGGGTGGGGGGGCCCGAGGACATGCCTGTGGCGCTGCTTGGGGAACTGTTTGTGGGACCGCTGGAGGGGGCATTCTCTGTCCTTGCGGTTGTTGTGGTTTTCGCTGTTGTTGCTGTTGTTGCTGTTGTTGCTGTTGTTGCGGTTGCTGCGGTTGCTGCCGTTGCGGTTGTTTGCTGAGGAGGGCGTGGATCGCCGAATGCATATTGGTGATCATGTTTGTCTGCGCCTCGATTTGATGTTTCAGTGTATCCACTGTTCTCCGGAGTGTAGTCGTTTGCTCTTCGAGGATTTCAATCCTGTCAGAGGGTGGGCAGATCCGGCTGGTGGCATGTCTAATGGCCCAGGTGATGTAGTTCAGGTCCGTCTGGGTGTGGGTGTCCTGGGGGACAATGCTCGGGTAGAGGTAGTCAACTCTCGGCTGGTAGGGGTCGTTATAGTCGGATTCTGTTGCAAAGGTCGAGGAGAATTCCTGTTCCTGAGCTCCGGATGGGGTTGGGTCGGGAACCTGAGTGTTCCTGTTCTGCGAGGGGGCTGTCCCTTGCTGTGAAGACTGGGTAAAAAAGGACTGGAGCGAAGCTTGCTGGGACATAATTGAGTGTCCAGTTCTTCTGGCGGCGTAGAGTGAAGTTTCGGATAGGTTTCTTTTCCTTCCCTTCGGGAGGTCAAGGCTGGAGAATTCTTCGCTAAAAGCCAGTTTTCGTAGGTTTCTTTCGCTTGGAACAACAAAACGCGACCGTACGATCGGGGACGAAGTGGCTCGACCTGGTATGGTATACCAGGGTAAACCGAGGGGAAATAAAATAAAGTGTTTTTGAAGCGAGGTTTGTTATCAGGGAGTTCTTTGCGAGCCTTAGCGAGCAAGTAGAATACAGAGGTTGCGTAAGGAAAGAAGAGAAGAAGGAAAACAGACAAAAACACAAGACAACACCCCCTTATATATCCATCCATAATCCAACGATGACTAATACCTTCGCGTAACAGAAACCAAAAGAACATAATAGAAATCCCCATTACAAATCCTACTTCCACTGCATAATACCTCCTTCCCTCGTTCCAGTTTATCACCTAGCCAGAAATGCCTAATTGCCGTTACATTTGGCTAGTCAGTGAATGACACAGTATTTATATCCCTCGCTTATGTCTCGAGGACCCAGTCTACTAATAATACAGAATACACTCGGGGCATGCCCGAGACCCTGAAAAACAACCAAGAACTTTTAACTCCTAAGTCCGTAACCCAAACTCCTAAACCCGCTAAAACCCCTCAACCTATTTATCCACTCTAATGCACGTTTCCCTGTCGATGTTTCTTCTCCATCGGCCGTCTGGTGGATAATCGTCAGCGTCGGCTATTCGGAGGTCTCGGACGGCAAGGCTACCTACTCAGGCCTCTTCCCACATCGCTTTCCCACATAGCAGAGTCCTCTCATGCCCACAGGTACCGCCGATAGGTACTCGGTCGGCTGGCAGCTTGCGCCGATTCGCTCCGAGCGGTCCGATCTTCGATCCGATTGATTCCAGCTGTCCCTCATATATCCACCGGTACTAAAACACTCCCCTCCGGCGGTTTGACCCTCCGGGGGTTATTATTGGGGTCGAAAACGTGTTTTTTAACTAGTAAAACCGCAACTCCGCATTTGGTCGCATATTGATCGCACCGCACCTCGTGGGTGCGACCCGGAGTTGATAGTGGTATTACCATTAGTATCAAAGGGTATTGGGGGTGTCTACCAGCCTTTCTCTCACTCCCATAAATTCTTGGCATGCCCGTAACACTTCGTGCGCGTGGTTTCCCAGTCCTGTTAAGGTTCGTCCACAGATATGACACCGGGAACTTTGGTAATGATATCGTTTCGATTGAACACTACGTTTAGGATTGTGCTCGCTAATGCAGTTGAAGGAGAAGTTTGGGGTTCTTACTTATTTACTACGGGAAGGTTTCTTTGTTGTCGCTTTGATTCTGCTTACCTGTACCACTTGTTATTCGCGCCCTCTCCGTGCGCTGTTTTTCTCTTTTTATGTACGTAGTTCTCGTAGCTGCGGTAGTTAGTTTTTGTACTTCGTTTTTTGCTTTCAGGTTAGTCGGTGGAGGTTGTAGTCGGGTAGTTAGGTGTGCGATAAGCTTCGGCTTCTAAGCAATATAAGTTTCTTCTTCTTCTTCTTCTGCATTCTACTTGCTCGCTAAGGCTCGCAAAGAACTCCCTGATAACAAACCTCGCTTTAAAAACATTTTATTTTATTCCTCTCGGTTTACCCTGGTATACCATACCAGGCTGAGCCACTTTGTCCCCGATTGTACGGTCACGTTTTGTTGTTCCAAGGGAAAGAAACCTATGAAAACTGGCTTCTAGCGAAGAATTCTCCAGCCTTGACCTCCCGAAAGGAAGGAAAAGAAACCTATCCGAAACTTCACTCTACGCCGCCAGAAGAACTGGACATTCAGTCATGTCGCAGCAAGCTTCACTCCAGTCCTTTTTCACCCAGTCTTCCCAGCAAGGGACAGCCCCCTCGCAGAACAGGAACACTCAGGTTCCCGACCCAACCCCATCCGGAGCTCAGGAACAGGAATTCTCCACGATCTTTGCAAAAGAATCGGACTATAACGATCCCTACCAAACGAGAATTGACTATCTCTACCCGAGTATTGTCCCCCAAACCACGCACACCCAGACAGACTTAAACTACATCACCTGGGCCATCAGACATGCCACCAGCTGGATCTGCCCACCCTCCGACAGGATTGAATACCTCGAAGAGCAATCGATCACTCTCCGGAGAACAGTGGATACACTGAAACATCAAATTGAGGCACAAACAAACATGATCACCAACATGCATTCGGCGATCCACGCCCTCCTCAACAAACAACCACAACCGCAGCAACCGCAGCAACCGCAACAACACCAACAACAACAGCAACAACAGCGAAAACCACAACAACCGCAGGGACAGAGAATGCCCCCTCCAGCGGTCCCCCAAACAGTTCCCCAAGCAGCGCCACAGGCAGCTCCTCAGGCCCCCCCACCCGCACCTCCCCAACAAGCCCCACCCCATGGATGGAAGGCAGGCACCTGGGCCGCCGTGGCCTCAGCATCCGGTCCCGCCCAAGGAAATTTCCAGGTTGTCGAGAAAAGAAAGAAGCCCGCAAAGCCAAAAGCGGACCCCCTCTTCAAACCAGAGTACACTAAAATCAACAGGGAGATCATTGTTGAAACCACTGCCCCATCGGACGTCAACCCCTCCGAGATCAGGACTGTTACGGGCATGCCAAGCATTTACGGGAGTGAGAGAAAAGGCTAGTAGATACCCCAATACCCTCTGTACGCTAATATCAACTCTTGACCACACTCGCGGAGTATGGTGCGACCAAATTACGACCAAAAAACCCAGAGTCATAAAAAACACGTTTTCGACCCCAATAATAACCCCCGGAGCGTCAAACCGCCGGAGGGGAGTGTTTTGGTACCGGTGGATATATGAGGGATAGCTGGAATCAATCGGATCGAAGATCGGACCGCTCGGAGCGAATCGGCGCAAGCTACCAGCCGACCGAGTACCTATCGGCGGTACCTGTGGGCATGAGAGGACTCTGCTATGTGGGAAAGCGATGTGGGGAGAGGCCTGAGTAGGTAGCTTTGCCGTCCGAGACCTCCGAATAGCCGACGCTGACGATTATCCACCAGACGGCCGATGGAGAAGAAACATCGACAGGGAGACGTGCATTAGAGTAGATAAATAGGTTGAGGGGTTTTAGTGGGTTTAGGAGTTTAGGGTACGGACTTAGGAGTTAAATGTTCTTGGTTGTTTTTCAGGGTCTCGGGCATGCCCCGAGTGTATTCTGTATTATTAGACTGGGTCCTCGAGACATAAGCGAGGGATATAAATACTGTGTCATTCACTGACTAGTCAAACCATCATCGGCGAAATCAGAGTCTTAACAATATAAATCGTTGATACGCGAGTTACAACTTTATTTTGACTATACTTTCTGAATTACTTTACTCTATCGTGACTTCGAACTCTACCTGAACTATTACGTCGAAGACGGTCGAACATCACACACTAACTCTAGTGAATCTTTGTTGATAACGTAGCTCGCGGGGCCCGTATCGGATCAAGGAGAATCATACTCGACGTTGACTGAAGAGACCTTGGAGACTTCTACCTTTGTAGCTGTTAGCCGAACTCTGAGCTCTGCGTAGTGTACTCTTGCGGTCTGGTACGCATCCCTCACAAGGACCCTGATCAATGCAAGAATCCAGGACGAGTCCTGCCACTTTATCTCAGCAAGAAGTACACCCAAGGACAACTTCATCTTGGAAACAAAATTCGTTACCCCTGCAACAAAGGCAATGGAATATGCCAAAGAAATTGAGGAGACCCTCCTCACCCTACAAGTACCAGTCGCCGTCATCCGCGCAAACTCCAAATGGTCAAAGTTCCTCCTCCATGGAATCCCCACAACGGTCGGGGAGGGCATCGAGGCGGGACAATTGGTAGCATCAGAAATCAGAAGCAACTACGGAGAGAACTTCCAACTTGCCCAGGTTCCCCGCTGGATCTCCAGAGCAGAGACTCGAATGGAGAAAACCCACTCATCAATGGTCATCGCGCTCCCAGGACAAATTACAATGGAAACACTAGGAGTTAAATTCCTATCTCTCTTTAACCGAAGCTGTCATATCGAGGCCTTCCTTCCAACCTTCCCAGACACCCAGTGTGCGAAGTGCCTCGAATACGGCCATCGCCAGGAGAAATGTAAGAACAACGGGAAATGCGGCCACTGCGCCGGAGATCACCTCACCAGTTTCCACCCATGCAATGAATGCCAGGGAGGATATAGATGCACCCACACCCCAATCAGATACCTGAACTGTAAAGGAGCTCATAAGGCCTCCGACCCAGCATGCCCCGAAAGGGCCAAACGCCGATTCCTCAATAAAGGGAAGGAAAACGCCCCACCCGCTCAAGACCCACCGGCTGCACCCGTCCAAGAGCTGCTCCCAATCATCCAAGTACCAGCCACCGCCCCGGTCGGAGCCACACCCGTTCCCGAAGATGACCAACACATGACAAATAATGCCTAGGCCCCGAACCACCGCGCTCGCACAGCAACTCAATTGTGCACGGAGCGAACTCATTACCAAGGCGGTGGTAGAAGAAGCGGAAACAGACTCTAGTATTTATTTCCTATTATTACAAGAACCATGGACCTCAGCAGAAGGATACTCACCAGAATCAAATCTCTTTTACATCTTTACAGCCAGCAACACCAATTCAAAATGCGCAAAATATGTCCGCAAACATGCCAATCTCAAACCAAAACACCACTACACACACGATAATTTCATAGTATCGATTACGGTAGAAACCCAGAACAAAAAAACCCAAATCCTGAATATATACTCCCCAGGCCGAAGTGGCCCCTTTGCCCAAATAGCAAAAACTATCCAAACCCTTGATAACTGTCTAGTAATGGGAGACTTCAACTGCCATCATCAAATGTGGTACGGAGTAACATCACATGAATACAGGAACAACATCCGAGCAGACCGTACCAACGGTGCACGGCTAAAACAATGGATAACTCGACAGAAGCTGACCCTCTTGAACGAACCAGGCGTCTTCACGCACTTCCCCAGAGACAGAGGAAAAAGGCCTACAATCATCGACCTTACATTCGTAAAAGGCCCAATTCTCGACCACAACCTACGATGGAGCACTGAACCCTATGGAGCGGGCTCAGACCACGGGAGAACCTCCGTTCACTTACACTTGGAAAAACCACCATTCGTACCAAGACGGATGTGGCGACAAACAGACTGGAAGCTATTGGAGAACCACATGTCAAATATTTCCATCCCTGCAGAGGCATGGGAAACCAAGGAACACACGGAACAAACTGTCGACTTCTTCCTAGAACTGGTCAGGGCAACAATCAGTATAGTAACACCACTCTCGAAGGAAGGAGTAAGAGCCAACTCCTGGTGGTCAGAGGAAATGAAACAAATGAAGGCAAGGGTAAACGCGGCTGTAACGGAGCCATTTCAACTGTCTGGTGTATGAGTACACACAGGGCCCGGTTACATGCTGAGAGTTATTGTTAGAAGCCAGTTGCACGGTGATATGCAGGTACCGGCAGTGTGGTTAGCTAGCAGCTGTTAGAGTAACTACATTCCGGGCGCTAGGAAGGGGATCTATTCATGGGAGCAATGACTGACGAGTCTATGCCTTGCCAGTGTCTAGAAGACCGGCCAGAGTGAACCTCTGATTGTCCGGTGATCCACTGTATCCTCTGAGCATTATAAGTCCGCCGAAGGGCAGGGACTATGCTAGGGAAGTCTACAATAAGTGAAAGCTCTACAGCAATGATTAAGCTTACACCTGAGCGGCAGCTCATTCATGCAGGTCCTCGGTTGTGTGGCAACCAAGGCTGCAGGTGTTACAAAGGCTTTGACTAAGGGTGGTTGCCTTGGGTATCGGAAACACCTGCTGACGCTTAGAGAAAAAGCGGGGTAGCGGTGGTATTGTTTCCGGTACTGAGGGAAGGCCCACCGGAACTTAGTAAGGAGTTAGGAGCAGAGGATAGAGGCCTTCGGAGTATAAGTACTCAGGTTCATTCTCGCCCTTCAGTCCTGTTCTCTCAAGTCCTCCATCAGAAAGAAAAACCAAGTTCTTATCGGTAGCAGAGCCCTTAAAGATTATTGAGTTCTAGCGATAGTATCCTTGAATAATCTGCAACCTGATTGTCTATCTTGCACGGCCGACTCTATTCTATACAATTCTATTTCTCTTAGAAAGGACCCCCGTTACAGCGGCAGAAAGGAAGGCGAGAAATACAAAGAAACCCAACCACGTGGAGGAGCACCGGAAGGCATGTGAGAATGGACAGTCATGATCCGGAAAGCAAAAGCGGACCAGCGGGAAAAGACAATGAACGAGGCGAAAGGTAGTGAGGTCTGGAGAATCCTAAATGCAGGAAGGAGAAGAGACACAATCATACCAACAATACAAGGTGAAGAAACGTTTGCGGGGAAGTGCCAAGCTCTAAGAGCTCAACTTTTCCCCTCAAAACGGACGTCCCCCGACCATCCCCCTCTAAACATTAGGCTCCCCTCTTTTGACCTTAGCAACACCTTCGACATAGTCACCTCCGAAGAACTGAATAAAGCAATCGACTCCTGTCCAGCGCATTCGGCGACCGGCCCGGACGGCATCCCCTATACCTTTATTAAGGCGATAGTCAGAGCAAACACAACTTTAATCCAAGACATGTTCTCCGCCATGCTCCGACACGGAGTACACCCAGCGGAATGGAAAATAGCTAAGTGCATCCCGATCCCGAAACCCGGCAAAGCAAACTATCATGAAGCAAAAGCCTATCGGCCCATTTCCCTTCTACAATGCTTCAGCAAAATCCTGGAGAAGATAGTGGCTCAGAGACTCTGCACCGCTGGAGAAATCCTAGGCACACTCTCAGCGAATCAATTTGGAGGAAGACCAACCATCTCGGCAATCGACGTCCTCCTGAGAACCTTGACACCAATACAACAAAACTTACTACTGAAAAACAGTACCGGAATCGCTCGGCGAGACAGGCCAGCGATCCTAACCAACGATATCCAAGGAGCATTTAACTGCGTCGACCACCTACTCCTCGCGGAAATTATGCACCAAGAAAAATTCCCCACCTACTTAACAGAATGGTGCAAGGAATTCAATACCGGCAGAAAACTACAGTTCCAATTTAACCATGAGCTAGAGGAACCACAGCCCTATGATTCTGGAGTGCCGCAAGGAAGCCCCATGTCCCCGGTACTATTCATGATCTATGCTGGAGTAATCCTGGACCCAACAAGCAGCCCGAAAGAGATGGACACCACATATATTGATGACGATGCGCTGGTGCAAATATCCAAAACACCAGGCTTCACAATCAAGAGAATGGAGGAACGAATGAGAGAGAGACTAATAAAAGCTGAGCCACTCCAAATCAAATACGACCCGGATAAATCCGATCTGATCTTCTTCCGGCCCACCACATCATCCACACAACAACCACGACTTCCGGTCAAAATCAACAATATCAATATACACCCCAAGGAGAGGCTGAAGTATGTAGGAGTCTGGATAGATCCGACCCTCTCCCTCCGGCCCCACATCGAAGCAGCGATCGCAAAAGGCCTTAAAGCCCTGCACCAGATTCGATACACTGCTCGCCTGCCAGGCATAACGGTTAAAACGATTCACCACATCATAACACAAGGCTTCCTCCCAAGTCTACTCTACGGATCCGAGGCTTGGTGGACGGGCGCAGACCACATTATAAGATCCCTCGAACCACTATACAATGAAGCGGCCCGGATTATCACCGGCCTACCACGATGGACCAAAAGAGCCAAATTCCTCCGAGAAGCAGGCCTACCCCCCTTAGAACATCTTCTGACATATCGCTCAAGAAAGTACGGAACCAGAATACTCTGCACCGACGCAACCCACCCCAATAATGAATCTCTCATCGAGCTCCTCCCATACAGAGAAGCAAATATCAAAGGAACAGGCTTATACCGAATCGCCTCCCTACTACTCCCATATCAGACCCCCGGAAATGCGAGGGATAAGTGGAACCAAAATAAACTACTACGGGATCACCTGTTGGAAGAATGGAATACACAATCAATACCGAACTACCACCACCGGGGGGAATTCCGCCACCCTCCCAAGATAGTGAAACTCACCCTTACGGAAGTAAAAAAAGTATTTCGAATCCGGTGCCAGACCACCCGAATCGACAAGCATGCAGTTCATACAGACCCCGAACCATGCCAGTGTGGAATGGAAAACTCATCGAAACACATACTTATGGAATGCCCAGCGTGGGCTCGAATCCGAACCCCTCTGATAGAAAAGATCCCCGGAGCGATGACCTGGGAAAACTGGATGTTCACAAACCTGAGAACGGACCTCATCCTACAATTTGCAAAACAATCTCAACTCTCGAAATGGTACGAGTCGGCCGAGGCGGAGGCGGACCTGGAAGAGGGGATGGAAGAAAATGATTAGGGATGGGATTAGGAAGGGCAGTTTCCTTTTACTCTTTAATTTTGGTTTTATTTTTTGTTTTGATGGATCCAGCGCTCGAGTCCGCTGAGATATGTTATCTTTCCTTGTCGTTGGGTTTTCTGGTTGAGTGTCGTTCTGGAATTCTCTTGATTATTGCTTGTGTTCGTTTGTGTTTGCTTTGTTCTTGTTTTTGTTCGTTTGCGCTTGTGTTTGTGTTTGTTGTTTTTTCTTTCTTTTGTTCGGTTCGGGTTTAGGCGGTCGGGTCGGCGTGCGATAAGTCTTGTACTTCAAAGCAATATAAGTGTTACGGGCATGCCAAGCATTTACGGGAGTGAGAGAAAGGCTAGTAGATACCCCTATACCCTTTAATACTAATGGCAACACCACTATCAACTCCGGTTCGCACCTACGAGGTACGGTGCGATCAATATGCGACCAAATGCGGAGTTGCGGTTTTCCTAGTTAAAAAACACGTTTTCGACCCCAATAATAACCCCCGGAGCGTCAAACCGCCGGAGGGGTGTGTTTTGGTACCGGTGGATATATGAGGGACAGCTGGAATCAATCGGATCGAAGATCGGACCGCTCGGAGCGAATCGGCGCAAGCTGCCAGCCGACCGAGTACCTATCGGCGGTACCTGTGGGCATGAGAGGACTCTGCTATGTGGGAAAGCGATGTGGGAAGAGGCCTGAGTAGGTAGCCTTGCCGTCCGAGACCTCCGAATAGCCGACGCTGACGATTATCCACCAAACGGCCGATGGAGAAGAAACATCGACAGGGAAACGTGCATTAGAGTGGATAAATAGGTTGAGGGGTTTCAGTGGCTTTAGGAGTTTGGGTTACGGACTTAGGAGTTAAATGTTCTTGGTTGTTTTTCAGGGTCTCGGGCAGGCCCCGAGTGTATGCTGTATTATTAGAAGACTGGGTCCTCGAGACATAAGCGAGGGATATAAATACTGTGTCATTCACTGACTAGCCAAACCATCATCGGCGAAATCAGAGTCTTAACAATATAAATCGTTGATACGGGAGTTACAACTCTATTTTGACTATACTTTTGGAAATACTTTATTCTATTGTGACTTCGAACTCTACCTGAACTATTACGTCGAAGACGGTCGAACATCACACGCTAACTCTAGTGAATCTTTGTCGATAACGTAGCTCGCAGGGCCCGTATGGGATCAAGGAGAATCATACTCGACCTTGACTGAAGAGACCTTGGAGACTTCTACCTTTGTAGCTGTTAGCCGAACTCTGAGCTCTGCGTAGTGTACTCTTGTGGTCTGGTACGCATCCCTCACAGTATATTGTTACTCACAAGTTCACTTGGAGTAACGAAGTCACCTCAAAAAAAAAAGCTATCATCATTATCTGTAACGGGGGTCTTTCTAAGAGGAATAGATTTGTATAGAATAGAGACGGCCGTGCAAGATAGACAATCAGGTTGCAGATTATTCAAAGATACTATCGCTAGAACTCAATAATCTTTAAGGGCTCTGCTACCGATAAGAACTTGGTTTTTCTTTCTGATGAAGACTCGAGAGAACAGGACTGAAGGGCGAGAATGAGCCTGAGTACTTATACTTCAAAAGGCCTCTGTCCTCTGCTCCTAACTCCTTTACTAAGTTCCGGTGGGCCTTCCCTCAGTACCGGAAAACAATACCACCGCTACCCCGCTTTTCTCTAAGCGTCAGCAGGTGTTTCCGATACCCAAGGCAACCACCCTTAGTCAAAGCCTTTATGACACCTGCAGCCTTGGTTGCCACACAACCGAGGACCTGCATGGATGAGCTGCCGCTCAGGTGTAAGCTTAATCATTGCTGTAGAGTTTCCGCTTATTGTAGACTTCCCTAGCATAGTCCCTGCCCTTCGGCGGACTTACAATGCTCCGAGGATACAGTGGATCACCGGACAATCAGAGCTTCACTCTGGCCGATCTTCTAGACACTGGCGAGGCATAGACTCGTCAGTCATTGCTCCCATGAATAGATCCCCTTCC